GACTGCTACCTCCTGGCAATCATGGCCTATGACCGCTACGTGGCCGTGTGCCGGCCCCTGCTTTATGTCACCGTCATGACCGAGAAGGCCCGCTGGGGCTTACTGGCTGCAGCTTATGCGGCTGGTTTCTCCAGTGCCTTTGTTCGGACAGTCACAGCCTTCACCCTCTCCTTCTGTGGAACCAATGAGATCGACTTTATTTTCTGTGATCTCCCTCCCCTGTTAAAGCTGACCTGTGGGGACAGCTACACCCAGGAGGTGGTCATTATTGTGTTTGCGATATTTGTCATCCCTGCCTGCATGGCGGCCATCTTGGTGTCCTACCTGTTCATCATCATGGCCGTCATGAGGATCCCCTCCTCAGGAGGCCGGGCCAAGACCTTCTCCACGTGTGCCTCCCACCTCACGGCCGTGTCACTCTTCTTCGGCACTCTCATCTTCATGTACCTGAGAGACAACTCTGGCCACTCCTTGCAGGAAGATCGGGTGGTGGCTGTGTTCTACACAACAGTGATCCCCATGCTGAACCCCCTCATCTATAGCCTGAGGAACCAGGAAGTGAAGGAAGCCCTGAGGAAAGTTCTCGAATGAGCTGAGTGGTCCTGACCATTTCCCACTTGGAAAGTCCTGGGAAGTACCTCTTCAGCAGCCCCAGCATTCTAGACACTCGTTATTCCCAGCACGCTCGCTGTGTATCATCCACACGTGACCCAGGTCACAGGTCTGTGACTATGAAACAAAATGAGTTTTGCAAACTTTTCTATGAAAGGTTTCTATCACGCAGAGATGTTGAAAATAATGTACAGTGAACTCCTTATGTCCAATACTTAGATTCTGCTATTGCTAATATTTTGTTATTTTTGCTTTATCATATATATATGTATATGTATAATATATACACATATATAGGTATAATCTGTTCATTTACCCATCGATCAAGTCATCCTTTGACCCACCTTATTTTCTGATGCATTTGGAAGTGAGATGCCGCTGTCAGTATCAGAACTCGTCACTCCCGTAACACTTTAGAATTACGTCCTCAGTTAGGATTCAACATTGAGATTACACTTATTGCTAATGATTACATGAAGGTCATAGTTCAGTGGTCTAATTAATAAAGCCGACCCCCTCAAAGTATTCTTCACACTCTAAAAGTTCACAGAGGTGCCTCGCAGGACTCACTGGAAAATGCCCACCATAACATGCCTGTCCCATTCCTCTTGCCTGGAAACATACCCCATTCTTCCTTCCTCCCCGCCTGTTCCAGCCCTCACACTCACAACGTGTGCTGAGAACCCACTTGTGAATTGATATCCCTCCCACTTCTCGTAATGGTATCTGCGGTGTCTGTATCGCTGATGTTGACTCTATGTTCTTACAGTTTAAAAAAAATTTTTTTTTAATTTTTTTTAATTTTTATTTTTAAAAAAATTTTTTTCAACGTTTATTTATTTTTGGGACAGAGAGAGACAGAGCATGAACGGGGGAGGGGCAGAGAGAGAGGGAGACACAGAATCGGAAACAGGCTCCAGGCTCTGAGCCATCAGCCCAGAGCCCGACGCGGGGCTCGAACTCCCGGACCGCGAGATCGTGACCTGGCTGAAGTCGGACGCTTAACCGACTGCGCCACCCAGGCGCCCCTAAAAAAATTTTTTTTAATGTTTGTTTATTTTTGACAGAGAGAGAGAGAGAGCGAGAGACAGAGCATGAATGGGGGAGGGGCAGAGAGAGAGAGGGAGACCCAGAATCCGCAGCAGGCTCCAGGCTCTGACCTGTCAGCACAGAGCCCGACGTGGGGCTCGAACTCACAGACCGTGAGATTGGACGCTCAACCCACTGAGCCACCCAGGCGCCCCCTATGTTCTTACAGTTTTTGACCTCAGGGAGGCAGAGGCTTGCTGTATTCCATACACAGGTGGGCAAGAAGGTTCTCCCGTACTAGGTCGCTGTGTCTGCAGCAGCTCAACCTGGGTCCGAAGACTTCCAGAGGATGTTGGTTCTTGATCCTCACTTCTCTAACTTACAGGTGTCTCAGTCAAATGCAAGGCACTAGAAGGGAACAGGCCACCCAACCCTTCATTTTCTGTTTTTATGTGATCTTTGTTCCTGGAATTAAAATTATTTTCTCCCTGTCCCTTGGATTAAATAAAAACCAAGATCCCAGGTGTACGAATGATGTAAACCATCGTGCGAGAGAAGAGGGAGGCTGACAGTATCTTACAAACAGTGCATGATTCCAGAATGCTGTGTCACCCCCGGAATTGCAGTATGGCTTTGCCCTGCTATCCGAGAGTAGAGGCTTCCTATGAAATCTTTCTTAAGCCAAAACAGCATAAAGCAAAGAAAAAAATTACCATTAATTTATACGGAAAAAATTTTTCAGCATTCTCAGCAAGCCCAAAATAACTTCTCTTGGGCTTTTCTGATACCTTAGGACACATCTTGCTAACAGATGCACAAAATAAATCGAGACAAAGCACAGATGCTCACAGACATTGTTCGGAGCTGTGGCGGCTTGATGCTGAGAGGCTGAGTGTGGTTCCTGGGGAGGGATCATGGGAAGGCCACTCTCCATGTTCGAGGTGCATGCTGAACGCTATTGTCACCTTTTGTCATTTTTTTTTTTTGTAAACGTGAAGATCTGCTTTGGATGTCTTTTAGGTAGCAAAAGCAGGTGCGAATACAGGTCTTTCATAAAAGTAAAGTGGGGCAACGTGAAATTTTGAAAGGTGAAGAATACCAGTAATGGGATTTTAAATTAGAAGAAGCAGCTGGAGGACCGGTCAAAGATTCAGGGAGAACAAGTACAAAGGATACTAAATTTAAGCTCACCTACAGTAAAATAAAACACATTAAAATCTCCAAAGACATTATGTGTATTTCTAGAAGACAGGATGATTTAAAATGCATATTATAATCATCATAAGAAATACTAGATCCATTCAATGGTGGCTTGTCTGGTTCTTAAAACCCAGGTTGAAAATGCATAGCTCCAAAAGACGGACAGTTAATAAATAGCTCCCGTGTTGACTGTGTTACAGGTAGTGGCAAAAGGCAAAAGTTAAGAAAGGAGCTAGAAATCTCCGACTGGTCATGTGAAGTTACCTCCTGATTGGAGAGACACCATTGGGTCTGTGTGAGTGAGAGCAGTGCACCAAAGAGCTGTTTGCTCTCTTGGAATCTTCCAGAAGGCAGGAAGCACACCATGAATTGAAAGGAACTGCTAAGAGAATGAGCTGCTAGATATAAGGAGACAACTTAGGCTCTTTCTGATGAGATTCTAAGCAGGCAGTTAAGGCTGCTGTTTAAGAAGAAGGGGCCAACTGAGCTGTCTCTAGGGACTAGTGGCCACAGAGCCCCAGTGTTGTATATGGGACTTTTCCTGTATAGAGAGAGTTCAGGGAAAGTTAAGAAAAATGTCCTAAGGTATCCACTTACGTATGGAAGGGCAGACATGGTTAAATTAGTTTTTTTTAAGTTCATTTATTTATTTTGAGAGAGAGAGAGAGAGAGCGAGAGAGAGCACATGTGTGTGCAAGGGAGGGGTAGAGACAGAGGGAAAGAGAGAATCCCAAGCAGGCTCCACACTGTCAGTACAGAGCTCAATGTGGGGCTCGATCTCATGAACCGTGAGATCATGACCTGAGCCGAAATCAAGAGTCAGATGCTTAACCAGCTGAGCCACCTGGTATCCCAAATTACATATTAAAAAAAATCTTTTTAAGTTTTATTTATTTTGAGAGATACAGAGACAACACAAGCGGGGGAAGAGAAGACAGAGAAGGTGAGAGAGAGAATCCCAAGCAGGCTTTGTGCTGACTGCACAGAGCCCAATGCAGGGCTCGAACTCATGAAACCTTGAGATTATAACCTGAATCGAAACCAAGAGTTGGATGCTTAACTGACTGAGCCACCCAGGCACCTCAAGTTAAGTATTTTTAAAGAATAGTTGATAATATGAAGGTTACCTGGTTGTAAATAGGTGTTAGTATTTCCTTACATCTTGCTATATCTTGTGTGGAAGTCATTAAAATAAAGCAAACTGTGATTCTTTTTATTATTTAATTTTTTTTAATGTTTGTTTATTCTTGTGAGAAAGAGAGAAAGCAGGAGCGGGGGAGGGCCAGAGAGAGGGAGACACAGAATCTGAAGCAGGCTCTAGGTTCTGAGCTGTCAGCAGAGATCCCGACGCGGGGCTCGAATTCATGAACCATGAGACCATGACCTGAGCCGAAGTCGGCCCCTTAACCAACGGAGCCACCCAAGCGCTCCTAGTTATTTTAATTTTAAAAGTCCCATTTTAATAGAAAAGACATAGTTGAGGATTAATCGGTAAAATATGCATAGGGAACACTAGGCTATTTAGACCAGAAAACACCATCTGTGGGACAGTCTTGAATGTGGCTGTAATACCTAAAAGGAGAATAAAAAAAAGGTCTTCTGGGCAGATAACCTTGGATATCCAACTCAAGAAGTGGGTAGTGCGTATAATACCCTACCCAAACGCTCCTGGTCTCATGCCTGGCACTCAGCTGGATGCTCCCCCTCACCCTTCTCAGGTAGTTTCCTCCAAGGAGAACTCTAATACTGTCAGCCAGGTCTTCCAGGAGCTATCAAAGAATGGACTTATTGGTATTATGGCCTCTCTGCTGGGTTCCGGACACACTCTTCACATTTTTTGCCCCAGCCCTGAAAGGGGAGTCCTGGGGACCACACTTCCCAGTCCAGGAGGTGGGGGAAGAAAGGCCACAGCTCTTCCAGAGGCAGGTAGGACAGGAGCGATAAGGCATGACTTGTGAGGTGTCAAAAAGGGGCCCGGTTCCCTCTCAAAACCCCTTTCTTTGCTTTCAGTTCCTTTGCTGGAAATCACCTTGTGTGGCTTTCTTTTCTGGGGACCTTCGGGTGATGGAAAGAAGGCTGGGTGGTGACTGACACTAGCCAGTGGCATGTCCTTCCTTAAGGGAGTTCCCAATTCTGTACCTCAAGTTTCTCCACCTGAAAACCTGGGGAAAGGCTAGAATAAGAGAATTCTAAGAGCCCCTTTGTGGTCTGGCATTCTATATGACTGGGCTTTAACTCTGTGAAAGTGTAAATTGTTTGAGAAGAGGACCCACATTATGCGTTGCCAGCCGCTTTGTCCAGCCTGGGTTAGGACAAATGAGCACCCAAGTCTAGGTGACAGAGAAGTACAGGAATGAGTGCTTAGGTCAAGGAAGCTGGAGTGGCCTGAGATGAACTCTGAACACTTTTTCATCTGGTATTTCTGAAAGTGAATCATCTCCCTTCTCATAGGTGGTCAGGCATAAAGCTTACATGGTGTGAGAAATGAGTCCACCGACCCAATCGAAGGAGGGACGCAGAAACTCAGAGTACAGTAGAGTGAGGCTTTAATCAACGTTCCTGTGAGAGCAGGTGTCTGATGGACAGGCACACCTGGGGCAGTTACAGCAGACAATTTATCTCCTAGCATGAAGTCCCACCCCCGTTTCCTCATTGGCTGATTACTACAGAAGTTAACAGCCTTACCCGGACGTCGCCTATGCCCATACAAGGCAAGGAGTAGTCTGATTGGAACAAAGGTACATTCCCTGAGGTGATGCAGAGAC